ATAAACTAAAGTAAAGCGTTAAAAAAATTGTTCCAAGAGATGACGCGTAAACTGATAACAATATTTTATGTGAGAATTCAAAACTTAATGACGAAAGAAAATATACAGGTGCCAAGTTTTCGTCATAGAATGCGCACGTGTTATTATCAATGATTATATGTCGAATCATCAGCAGTAAACTCAAGACAACTTGGAGGACTTGACAGAAGTGACGTAGGTAGAGAGGCGTTGTAGAGGGGAATGCGTGAGTTCAGTACTTACCCTATACCACCACTAGCGATGAAAATGGCAATGAAAATGCCATTGGAGGTAAGGAGTATAACTGGTTAAAAAGAAATGTAGCAGCATAGTAGAGAGCCGGTCAAGTCGTTAAAAGAGTAGGGAGGCGGCATTTGTCTCGAAATGGTAAAATAAGGAAAAGGGGTGGGAAATGTAGTCATTAGCCTTTGATGAACAAAGATCGCCTATTGCGCGATAAAACATAATGGAGAGTTTATATATCTAAAAAGATTAACTAAAATTCTTATTAAAGTAATGAAATGGTAATAGGAGTGAAGTTGGTGTGGCCAAAGTGATGGGCAGAGGGGTGATATTGGTGGTGAAGGAAGCACTATTTGACGTAACCTACTGCGTTGGCACATGTGGAGTGGAAGTAGACTGAAAAGAGTGTAAGCAAGTGAGTAGCAAGTGAAGTGGTGATAAGCGTGAAGTTAGTGTGGCCAAAGTGTTGGGGAGTGCGATGCTATGGGTCGTGAAGAAAGAGAGGTAAGTTCCCACGTAAACTGATGCATTCGCACATGTTAAGTGGAAGTAAATTGAAGAATGTAAGTGAGTAGCAAGTGAAGTGTTGATAGGCGTGAAGTGGGTGTGGCGAAAGTGATGGGGAGTGGGATGTAATGGGTGGTGAATAAAGGGATCCATATTTGACATAACCTAAGGCATTAGCACATGTGGTGTGGACGAAACTGAACAGAGTGTAAGCAAGTGAGTGGCTATTAGTGCTATTAGTGGTGAAGAAAGAAAGGCAATTTTGGACGTAAACAAATGCATTTGCGCAGGTGGAGAGGAAGTAGACTGAAGAGAGTGTAAGCAAGTGTGTAGAAAATGAAGTGGTAATGGGCGTGAAGTTGGTGTGGCCAAAGTAATGCGGAGTTGAAAGCTGTTGGAGTGAAAGCAGAATGAAAACAAGATAGGCAAGTGTGTTGTAAGTTAGTAGGTGATAGGCGGGAAGTTGGAGAGAACAAAGTGAAGGGGAGAGGGACCCACAAATCTTGGCTCTGCAATTTTTACTCCGGTTCGAAAAAGCGCGACGAGAATGGCGTGTTCAGTGAACCAAATTTTGCCCATCCTTACACAATATGCCGCCCATTTTGGTGCTTTTCAACCACAAGTTTATTAGCTGTCGCGAAGCAGTAGTCATTACTGCCAAGCACAATATTGTAATTGCAAATTTCAATGCGGTTCTAGAAAG